TCATCATCACTGGTCATTAGAGAAATGCAAATCAAAACTACATTGAGATACCATCTCACTCCAGTTAGAATGGTGATCATTAAAAAATCTGGAGACAACAGATGCTGGAGAGGATGTGGAGAAATAGGAACACTTTTACACTGTTAGTAGGAGTGTAAATTAGTTCAACCATTGTGGAAGACAGTGTGGCGATTCCTCAAGGACCTAGAAATAGAAATTCCATTTGACCCAGCAATCCCATTACTGGGTATATATTCAAAGGATTATAAATCGTTCTAAGGACACATGCACACGAATGTTCATTACAGCACTGTTTACAATAGCAAAGACTTGGAACCAACTCAAATGCCCATCGATGATAAACTGGACAGGGAAAATGTGGCACATATACACCATGGAATACTATGCAGCCATAAAAAACAATGAGTTCATGTCCTTTGTAGGGACATAGATGAACCTGGAAACCATCATTCTCAGCAAACTGACACAAGAATGGAAAATCAAACACCGCATGTTCTCACTTATAAGTGGGTGTTGAACAATGAGAACACATGGACACAGGGAGGGGAGCATCACACAAAGGGGTCTGTCGGGGGGAACTAGGGGAGGGACAGTGGGGGTGGGGAGTTGGGGAGGGATAACATGGGGAGAAATGTCAGATATAGGTGATGGGGAGGAAGGCAGCAAACTATATTGCCATGTACGTACCTATGCAACAATCCTGCATGTTCTTCACATGTACCCCAAAACCTAAAATGCAATAAAATACGTATTAAAAAATAAAACAATGAGAAACTAAAAAAAAAAAAATTTCAATCATCATGTGGTGTTTCTCCAAATGCTGCTTCTTTCTTTCCTGACTATGCTCTTCTTTCTCTCTTCCAGCACTTGGTTCCATTATGTGAGGAATAAAGAATGATTTTTCAGAATATCCCAGCATACCACCCACAAAGATAATACTGTATAAGTTACATATACTTGGGAGGGATGCTCCCATTATCAAATCTTACAGTGTTGCACTGATGAAAGTCTGAGAAATTAGCAGCAAAGCATTTAAGAATCTTGAAAGACACAAATTACAAATCCTGTCAATAATATTGTCTATTTTATTGTTTTTATTTATTTGCTTTGTTATGTTTGGCTAAATTTCAGCACCTTATTTTTACCGATAAACTTATTTTATTAGTAAAAAATAAACTTGATTATTTGGAAACATTCTTATTTTTATCCAAATTACATTTCTAAGGAAGTGTATAAGTGTATTTTTACAAGATATGAATATAGAGTAATGAGACTTTTGAAATGGATCTTAGCTTCCATATTTATTTTTATTTTTTTTTAAAGAAAAAAGGAAAGAGAGAAGGAAAGAATAAACGAATAAAAGAGAGAAAGAAAGAGGAAGAGAAAGAGAGAGAGGGAATGGGAATCTTGCTCTATTGCCCAGGCTAGAATACAGTCTAAAAATGGGTATTGAAAACCTCTTTTAAGTCAATAATTGTGCTTAACAATGGAGACAGGAAGGAATAAGGGAGGAAAATAACAAACAAGCAGCCCACCAATACTTCATTTAAACCTGTGAAATGCTATGCAATTACTGAGGAGTGATTTACTTCCAGTTATATAGTCACTTTTAGAGTAGGTGTGATGTGGTACTGAGAAGAATGTACGTTTTGTGGATTTGGGGTGGAGAGTTCTGTAAATGTTTATTAAGCTTACTTGTTCCAGATCTGAGTTCAAGTCCTGGATATCCTTGTTAATTTTCTGTCTCGTTGATCTGTCTAATATTGACAATGTGATGTTAAAGTCTCCCACTATTATTGTGTGGGAGTCTAAGTCTCTTTGTAAGCCATTAAGAACTTGCCTTATGTATCTGGGTGCTCCTGTATTGGGTGCGTATATATTTAGGATCATTAGCTCTTCTTGTTGCATTCATCCTTTTATCATTATGTAATGTCCTCCTTTGCCTCTTTTGATCTTTGTTGCTTTAAAGTCTATTTTATCAGAGGCAAGAATTACAACTCCTGCTTTTTTTTTTTTTCTCTCCATTTGATTGGTAAATCTTCCTCCTCCATCCCTAGCTTCCATATTTAAATGAAAGTTGTTCTTCAAACATTAATGTTAGGAGGCAATACATATTTCATCGACCCCTCCACTGCTTAAAGCATTTAAAAAGTCCCGGTGGATAAGCTTTTTGATGTGCTGCTGGATTTGGTTCGCCAGTAATTTATTGAGGATTTTCATATCAATGTTCAACAGGAGTATTGTCCTGAAATTTTCTTTTTTGTTGTTGTGTTTCTGCCACATTTTGGTATCAGAATTATACTGGCCTCATAAAATGAGTTAAGGAGGAGTCTCTCTTTTTCTATTGTTTGGAATAGTTTCAGAAGGAATGATACCAGCTCCTCTTTGTACCTCTGGCAGAATTTGGCTGTGATCTATCTGGTCCTGGGCTTTTTTTGGTTGGTAGGCTATTAATTACTGCCTCAATTTCAGAACCTGATTATTGGTCTATTCAGGGATTCGACTTCTTCCTGATTTAGTCTTGGGAGGGTGTATGTGTCCAGGAATTTATCCACTTCTTCTAGATTTTCTAGTTTATTTGTGTAGAGGTGTTTATAGTATTCTCTGATGGTAGTTTGTATGTCTGTGAGATCAGTGGTGATATCCTCTTTATCATTTTTTATGCTGCCTATTTGATTCTTCTCTCCTTTTTTCTTTATTAATCTGGCTAGTGGTCTATCTATTTTGTTGATCTTTTCAAAAAACCAGCTCCTGGATTTATTGATTTTTTGAAGGGATTTTCATGTCTCTATCTCCTTCAGTTCTGCTCTGATGTTAGTTATTTCTTGTCTTCTGCTAGCCTTTGAATTTGTTTGCCCTTGCTTCTCTGGTTCTCTTAATTGTAATGTTAGGGTATCAATTTTAGATCCTTCCCACTTTCTTTTGTGGGCATTTAGTGCTATACACTTTTAAAGTTACATTATAAAACAGGAAAAACTCAGTTGTATTACTATAAAATTACACCTGATCTTTGAACAAAGATAACAATCCTCAGTTTGAACATCCACTTTATTTGTTATATGTTATCTCCAATTGCTTTGAGGATTCTTCCAAAAATAGGCCAACCATGAAACGATAAACAAATGTCTGCCAAGACTATAGAACCAAAAAAAGGCAAGAACAACAACAACAAAAGCCCTGTCACAGACTATGAAGTCTTTCAAAGTATGAATTCCAAACTTCTTTCAGCACTAATAGCATTGAAATTTTGCAGAAATAAAAATTCATGGATATTTAGGGCCCAGAGGAGACTGATTATTAAAAATTATATATATATAAATATTGTTTTTTCATATATACATTATGTATATGGCCTACCACTAAAAATGTATGCATTTTGACATATAAATATAAAACCTACATCCCCCAATTGTATTTAGCTTTGAAATGTGATTAATGATAGCCAATTAGAGATTGACACGCAGGTTACAGTCTATACCATGAGAGAATCCAACAAAAAAAAGTAAAAGTTCCAGTCAGTCATTCTTATTTACTAAAGCATGAAGCAATGCTATTGATGATGAATCTTGCACATGTTGCCTTTATGATGTGGAAACTCTATAATAAGGCAGACCATCCAAATTTGTAATATAGAGCTCTGGAGTGTTCAATTTTTGTGATTATGTAGAGACGAATGCTAACAAATGTATGGCACCCATATGCTTTCCTGCCTCTAAGCATGGACCCCACTGAAATCAAGAGCTATATCCAGCTTTTTGGCAGAAGAAAGAAAGATTTGTTTTGGAAGAAAGCTATGGGCCACTAATATGAAAGAAGCTTTGAGAAACTAACTTTTCATTTGCAATTGGCACAACGTATTCCTAACAAACAATTCTGAAATGTTTATACTATAATACTTCCCTTCAAAGAATTTTCAAAGCACTTTCCAATTTAACTTTAAGACATTCAAGTCAAAGTCTTAAAGTATCAATGATAGGAGAAGTTGTTTAATATTTGCCAGTATAGCAACAAATTACCACCTTTGAAATAATAAATGGTGTTATACAACAATTAGAAATCTAATACATAGTTTTCAAAGAATTCTGAAAAAAAGAAATAATTGTGAAAGAAGGAATTATTTGACTACCCAGTAGTTGGCAAAATACAGCCTGCAGACCAAACCATGTAGGCCACCTGTTTTTGGAAATAAAGTTTTATTGGCGCACAGCCAAACCCATTTGTTTATGTATTGTCTACTGCTCCTACAAAGAGTTGAGTGGTTGCAATCGAAATCTTATGGCCAGCAAAGCCTAAAATAGTTATCATCTGGCCCTTTTCAAAAAGTTTTCCAACACCTGGACTAGAGTGTTAATTTTATTTTCTAATAATTATTTGTCAATAACAGTGAATTCACAAATATTTTCCCACTCCATGGGCTAGCAAACTAAGTTATACCTAATGGTACAAGATAAACATGAATGACATCATGTTTTCCAACATAAAGACATTTGGAACTGGTGATTTACTCAGCCTAGGACCACACCTGCTTAGTCTAGATCCACACATCTGTATCAGAGACAGAGTATGCAGTTCACATTTTCTGCCATTTTTACAAGAACAAAGCTTCAGTGCAAAGGCTTAGTTACGTATAGTATTTATAATGACATATTAAAATCATCAAACGAATTACAAACAAGACATGATGAACTAGTGTTTAGAATGGGAAGGACATTTCTCACCAGGTGCTAATAATTTGAAGGTAGATTTGACTGCAGGCTGACATAAGTTCATACAGCACTCCCTTAATCAAAGGATAGTTAAAAAGAATATGAAATGAGCTGACAAATTTTGACATGATTGCCGATTGCAGATCAGATACATGTGCACTGCACATTGGCAATGCATTGGAAAGAGTTTTCATTCCCTTAAGTGATGGATTTTAAATCAGTTCCCGAGATGAATATTTCAAACATACAAGCATAGGATTTTGAAACACTCACCCAAACCTGGGCGATGAAACATGTGCATTCAAGTCTTGCCCATTCCTGCATATCCCCATTTTACACTTTGAATTACAAAATAGACTATAAAAGAACCAGAAGAAAATGCTTTCAGTCAATAGCATGGGAAAGAATATCTAAACATAAGGGCAAAGGACAAAATTATAAAGGAAAACATATTTGATGCATAAAATTTTTAAACATCTGTATATAAAAAAGAGTCATAAAAGCCACAAAGCAAAAGAAAAATACATACGACTAAAAGGTTGTATTGTTAACGTATTGCAAGTCTTTAAATTTATGAGAAATTATAAACACTTATTAAATTAACCATTCAAAAAGCTTTAATTGAACTCATACTCTAATACTATTTGAGCTTCAGTGGGTGACCCCTGCTATGCTGTTTCATGACTGACAGGTGTTCTAGAATGTGAGATTTTTACTACTAAAGCCAGGACAGTCCCAGACAACCTTAACAGTTAAATAGAACTGAACTCAAGTTTGCACTGCTCCCCTCATGACTTTTAACATGTTACTCCACCTTAATGAGTCTCAAGCTCCTCAGCTCTAAATGGGTGCCAACACAAGTACTTTAAGGATTTGGGAGAAAATTAAACAAGAAAAATGTACAAATTTTACAGACCTGGCACACGACACATATTCAATAAATGGTAACTATAATTATTTTTATTGTAATCATCATCACTATTGTTATCATCATTGTTTGCCAGCTACAAAAGCCTACTGGTCTCTTCCCAGTATCCATTCTTATTCTTGTTTACAGAACTCCAGTTTGGGGGAAAGATTAAACAAACACTGCTAAAGTCCTGGATAGAAGTCATCATCTGACCTAGTTCTGATGACTAAACAAAAAAGGGGTAGGGGTGAAGTTTTTGGTGGGACTTCCAGGAAGGCTATTTAAAATATGTGAATGTATGGGAAGGGAGGGGGAGGGGAGACTTGATTGGCATGGGCATTTTGTCCTTGGCTCTTTCATTTCTTCCTGCCTGAATCATGGACTCAATTCTGGAAGCAAAGCAGCCATCCCACAATCCCAAGGGTGAAAAGCACATGCCAGGGTTGGCTTAGTGGAAAGATATGAGTCCATTTCTCTGCTGGCATGGAGACACTATCAATTCTAAGTTTCTGACTTCTGGACTTTTCGTTCTGTGAGAAAAAAATAAAAGTCTTTATTTAAGCCACTGTTTCCAGGTTTGTGTTATTCACAGCCAAACAAAATTCTCAATCAATACACTAGACACATTAATAGAAATACAGGCAAAGGATTCAAACAGGCAATTTAACAATAACAACAAAAAAGGCAAACATTCAGTAAATCTATGACAAAAGTTATTACATTATTATTATTTATTATTATGTATGTATAAACATAACACCATGTTTAGCTGTCACGTTGACAATACAGAATAATATTTAAAATACTATATTTGACAATTACCAAATATAACAATTATTTTTATTATGCTGTGCTTTCTTCTGACTTTTTTTTCTTTTTTTGAAATGGGGTCTCACTCTGTAAAGAGGGTCTCCCTTTGTCATGCAGCCTGAAATGCAGGGGTACAATCACAGCTCACTGCAGTCTCAACCTCCCCAGGCTGAGGTGATTCTCCCACCTCAGCCTCCTGAGTACCTGGGACTACAGGCAAGCACCATCATGCCTAGATAATTTTGGGGTTTTTTTTTTGGGGGGGGGTAGAGACAGGGCTTCACCATATTGCCCAGGCTTGTCTGGAACTTCTGGGCTCAAGGGATCTGCCCACCTCAGCTTTTCAAAGTGCTAAGATTACAGGTGTGGGCCACAGTTCCCAGCCTCTTTTGACCTTTTAAAAGAAATAGTATGCAGGCCAGGCACGATGGCTCATACCTGTAGTCCCAGCACCTTGGGAGGCTGAGGTGGGTAGATCACAAGGTCAAGAGATTGAGACCATCCTGGCCAACATGGTGAAACCCCATCTCTACTAAAAATACAAAAATTAGCTGGGCATGGTGGCACATGCCTGTAAGTCCCAGCTACTTGGAGGCTGAAGCAGGAAAATCACTTGAACCTGGGAGGCAGAAGTTGGAGTGAGCCAAGATCATGCCACTGCACTCCAGCCTGGTGACAGAGTGAGATTCCATCTCAAAAAAAAAAAAAAAAAAAAAAAAAAAAAAAAAAAGCAACAGAAGTATACTATTACTCATATAGAGGGGAACAACATACACTGTGGCTTGTTGGAGGGTGGAGGGTTAGGAGGAGGGAGAGGATCACAAAAAATAACTAATGGGTATTAGGCTTTATACCTGGGTAATGAAATAATCATGACACAAGTTTACCTATATAACAAACCCGCACATGTACCGCTGAACTTAAAATAAAAGTTAAGTTAAAAAAAGAAGGGTCAGCTTCTAGGCAAGATGGCCAAAAAAGAACAGCTCCAGTCTGCAGCTCCCAGTAAGATCAATGCAGAAACTGGGTGATTTCTGCATTTCCAGCTGAGGTACCCAGCTCATCACATTGGGACCGGTTAGATAGTGGGTGCAGCCCACGGAGGGTGAGCCAAAGCAGGGTGGTACATCACCTCACCTGGGTAGTGCAAGGGGTCAAGGAACTCCCTCCCCTAAACAAAAATCAAAAGAGACAAAGAAGGTCATTACAAAATGGTAAAAGGATCAATGCAACAAGAAGAGCTAATGATCCTAAATATATATGCACCCAATACAGGAGCACCCAGATTCATAAAGCAAGTTCTTAGAGACCTACAAAGAAACTTAGACTCCCACATAATAATAGTGGGAGACTTTAACACCCCACTGTCAATATTAGAAAGATCGAGACCGAAAATTAACAAGGATATTCAGGACTTGAGCTCAGTTCTGGACCAAACAGACCTAATAAACATTGACAGAACTCTCTACCCCACTTCAACAGAATATACATTCTTCTCAGTACCACACAGCACTTATTCTAAAATTGACCACATACTTAGAAGCAAAACACTCCTCAGCAAATGCAAAAAAGAAAAAATGGAAATCATAACAAACAGTCTGTCAGTCCACAGTGCAAACAAATTAGAACTCAGGATGAAGAAACTGAATCAAAACTGCACAACCACATGGAAATTGAACAAACTGCTCCTGGATGACTCTTGGATAAATAGCAAAATTAAGGCAGAAATAAGAAACTTATTTTAAACCAATAAGAACAAAGATACAATGTACCAGACTCTCTGGGACATAGCTAAAGCAGTGTTTAGAGGGAAATGCGTAGCACTAAATGTCCACAGAAGAAAGTGGGAAAGATTTAAAATAGTCACCCTAACATCACAATTAAAACAACTAGAGAAGCAAGAGCAAATAAACTCAAAATCTAGCAAAAGACAAGAAATAACTAAAATCAGAGCAAACCTGAACAAGATAGAGACATGAAAAACACTTCAAAAACATCAGTGAACCTAGGAGCTGGTTTTTTGAAAAGATTAACAAAATAGATAGACCACTAGCTAGACTAATAAAGAATAAAAGAGAGAAGAGTCAAGTAGACACAATAAAATATGATAAAGGTGATATCCCTACTGATCCGACAGAAATACAAGCTACCATCAGAGAATACTATAAACACCTCTATGAGAATAAACTAGAAAATCTAAAAGAAATGGATAAATTTCTGGACACATACACCCTCCCAAGACTAAACCAGGAAGAAGTCGAATCCCTGAATAGACCAATAACAAGTTCTGAAATTGAGGCAGTAATTAATATTTTGCCTACCAACCAAAAATAAGCTCAGGACCAGATGGATTCACAGCGGAATTCTACCAGAGGTACAAAGATGAGCTGGTACCATTCCTTCTAAAACTATTCCAAACAATAGAAAAAGAGAGAATCCCCCCTAACTCACTTTAGGAGGCCAGCATCATCCTTAAACAAAAGCCTGGCAGAGACACAACAAAAAAGGAAAATTTCAAGGCAATAACCCCAATGAATATCAATGCAAAAACCCTCAATGAAATACTGGCAAACTGAATCCAGTAGCACATTAAAAAGCTTATGTACCACAATCAAGTTGGCTTTACCTCTGGGATGCAAAGCTGGTTCAACATATACAAATCAATAAACATAATGCAGTACATTAACAGAGCCAATGACAAAAAATTACATGATTATTGCAATAAATGCAGAAAAGGCCTTTGATAAAATTCAACACCTCTTCGTGCTAAAAACACTCAATAAACTAGGTATTAATGGAACATTTCTCAAAATAATAAGAGCTATTTATGACAAAACCACAGCCAACATCATACTGAATGGGCAAAAGCTGGAAGCACTGCTTTTGAAAACCAGCACAAGACAAGGATGCCCTCTCTCACCACTTCTATTCAACATATTATTGGAAGTTCTTGCCAGTGCAATCAGGCAAGAGAAAGAAATAAAGAGTATTCAAATAGGAAGATGGAAGTCAAATTATCTCTGTTTGCAGATGACATTATTGTATATTTAGAAAACTCCATCATCTCAGCCCAAAAACTCCTTAAGCTGATAAGCAACTTCAGCAAAGTTTCAGGATATAAAATTAATGTGCAAAAATCACAAGCATTCCTATACACCAATAATAGACAAACAGAGAGCCAAATCATGAGCAAACTCCCATTCACAATTGCTGCAAAGAGAATAAAATACCTAGGAATACAACTTACAAGTGGTGTGAAGGACCTCTTCAAGGAGAACTACAAACCACTGCTCAAGGAAATAAGAGAGGACACAAACAAATGGAAAAACATTCCATGCTCATGGATAGGAAGAATCAATATCATGAAAATGGTCATATTACCCAAAGTAACTTATAGATTCAATGCTATTCCCATCAAGCTACCATTGACTTTCTTCACAGAATTAGAAACAACCACGTTAAATTTCATATGGAACCAAAAAAGAGCCAGTATAGCCAACACAATCTTAAGTAAAAGGAACAAAGCTGGAGGCATCACGCTACCTGACTTCAAACTATACTACAAGGATACAATAACCAAAACAGCATGGTACTGGTACCAAAACAGATATATAGACCATTGGAACAGAACAG